GAAAAGGTACTTTGACAATGAATAGGGTTTCTATTACTTTGTTAGATACTCACAACATGAAGAAGTCAAGCGGTACTATGAACGGTGATCGAGTTTTCTTGGCAAAGCCTGAGAAAAGGAGTGGAAGGTGTGAATCGTGGATAATGAGTTATGAATATATGGATGATAATTCTCAATCTTGTTCCAAGTGAGATATGGAACGTTATTATTGTCACAAAAGGGATACATTACAAGAAATTGTGAGGAACTCATAAAGCATCTTGAAGCGAAGAAAGGTAAATTTTAAATGATTTTCAAATGATGTGAATGTGGTTGACGACGGGTTTGAGACAAATAATATCTTTTTTGTTGCAGATAGTGATTCTAGGATTTTGGATCATGAATGTTTTTATCATTACATTGAACAAAGAGTGGTTTGAAGTTATGAACCGTGTTATGCGTGTAATGCTCTGATGGTTGATAATCAAAATCTCAAAGTTAAGGGTACAAGTTCTATAAAGATCTTCGTTTGATGGAGCGGTGAGATGACTAACAAGCATTATACATTTTCCAAGATTGAGGTGAAGTTCGATATCTTTGTGAGCATTCGAGACATTAGGTTATGAATCTGTTGCACGAGCCAGTGTGATGTACAGAAAGAAAAAATTTATAGCAAGAATGAGAGGTAAATAAATTAGTATTTTGTTTAAGCTAATAGGGAAAACAATTTTTGTAACCCTAAATATTTTAATGGGAAATTTTCACATTCAAGAGAATAAATTTAGCCTATTTCAAAAATAAGCAAATAAGTTTGAAATTTTCAAAATCAGATTTTTATTAAAATTTTTTAAATTTTTATTGATTAAATAATAAATTATTAAATTAATTTATTATTAAATATTTAATTCTAATATAATATAATTAACTCATCCCACCTTCACCACCCCTATCGCTCTGACAACCGTTCCGATCACCGCTCTACTCCGGCGAATTTTCCAACGACCATTCCGGTGACTTTCGGCGAACCTTTATGATGACTGTCCGACGACTGTTCCGGCGAACTTTCGCAACTTTTCCGATGACTTTCGATTCTGACAATTATTTATATTATTAATTAAATATTTATTTATTTTATTAATTAAAATATAATGATATTACAATTATACAATTAATGATCACATATACATAATTAATTGGTCACGGATTATTTTTGAGATCACAAATTAAAAAATTTATAGGTCACGATTTTTTATTGGTCACAGATCAAAGATTTTGTAGGTCGCAGATTATTTCGAGATCACAAATCGGGTCACATATTATTTTATTGGTTACAAATCAAAAAATTACAGGTCACAATTGTCTATCAGGCACATATTTTCAAATTTATTGGTCACAAATTAATTTTTAGTCACAATTTTAATGTCACGGTTAGATTTTTTTTGTGACCACCACCAATTTCTGTGACCACCCCCGTCACAAATTAATTTTTAGCCACAATTTTAAGGTCACCACCAATCAGATCTGTGACCACCTTCGTGACCACCATCGACATCTATGACCACTCCCGTGACCATCACCGACTTCTGTGACCACCTCGTCATCGACTTCTGTGACTAAATGCGTGACCACCACTAACTTCTGTGACCAATCCCTTGACCACCACCTCACCACTGCCACTAGTTAAATTTTAAGGTTACAATTAGATTTTAGGGTCCCGTAACCAATCCAGACGCCACACACCTCCACTGCCACTAGCCATCACCACCATCGCCACGACACCACAGAGCTCCACCTCCAACTCCACTGCCACCACCGCCAAAACAACACAGATCAGCACACATACCCACAGATCGCCCACCTCCACCACAGCCAACAAAAAAATTTCTCAAACCTACAATCACATCCATAGCCGAAGTCGAAGCCGTAGCCGCACAACCACAATGGCGACCATCCACCATCGCCAGAACCACCTCCTGAGAGCAAAACCAATATCTTAAGCACCGCAGCCAACATCATCACCACCTCCACCTCCTGACAACAAAGTCAAAGCCACCCAAACACCACCACCACCCAAAAACCCACATCAGATCGCGGAGCTGCAGATCTCGACCACGACGCACAGCGGATCTCGACAACAGTGTGCGGCGAGGCTGAATAGGCAATGATCGTCGATGCGGGCATGATGCGGAGCGAGGCACCGTTGCGGGTCGCCATCACCTCGCCATCACCTGAACCAAATGCTGCTAGTTGTGTGCGAGCATGTAGTTGAAAAGTTGTGGGACTCAATATTGATTATTTGACTTTGACTTAAATTAAAATCAGATTTTAATCCGGATCAAACAGTCTATATAATTACTTTGTAATTTTAAAGGTGCTTGAGATGATGCCTTTGATTATTTTTTCTGAAATTTAAATATACCAATACATCCATGTAGCAGTTAATTTTTCATCATTTCAACTAATATGATTTAGCCATCCCTAAAAATCAGATTTTTTAGTAGATTGTGATAGAAATTTTTGAAATGTGTGGTTGAAAAGTTGTGGGACCCAATATTGATTGTTTGACTTTGACTTGGATTAAAATCAGATTTTAATCCGAACCAAACAGGGGCTAAATTCTTTATCCTATATAATTACTTTGCAAGTTTATCGACTTTTTCCAATATTTTATGTTTTTCGTGATATTTATACATGAAATATACTAATTGACCTATGAATCTTTAATGAAATAAAATATGAGATTTCTCCTAATTTCACGAAAGTTTAAACACAAATGTGTTAAGAGTATTAGATTAATCACCGATTGGTCTCACTGAAATGATGGTATGGAATGTTGTAATTTACGTTTGATATTAAGATGTATTTTTGGATTGTATATATTCTTCGTACTGAGTTTTAAAATATCTACTCTTTAAATTACAAATTGTCATTAAGCTTGAATGGTGGCTGAGCGGTGTAGCAGGTTGCCAAGTAAAAATCTCATTTATATGTATACAAATTGTCGCTCTTTAGGACGTAATAGTTTGGTATTAGACTTATTAAAATTTGTATGTATATGTTTTTGTGAAATACGTGTTTACAAATAAATGTTCATTTAAAAAAAAAAAAAAAAATTGATGTGAATAATAACCTCGCAAGTGTTCACGTGAACCTTGACCTATCCCTATTAACAGTGAATGGCGATCCATGAACAGTAACCTTACACTATTCACTGTGGATAAAAAACAGTTTTTGATTTAAAATGTTAAAGATTTTTAAACTCTTTGAATCCTACTAAAAGGTTAAGAATACATTCTGGAATAATCTTTTATTGGAGAATATGTAATTAAAAAATAAAGAAAATTTTTGGATTTACGTGTAATATTATTTTATTGAAAAATGTGTTGTTGAAAATAAAAAAGAAAAAATGTGTTTTGAAAATAATGGGTACCAAACAAGGACTAAATGTTAGAAATTGTTAATTTTGTCAAAACTTAAAGTTCAGCATAAAACAAAAACATACATATATATGTTACAGGGTTATTAGAATAAAACGTCCCTACGTTTTAATACGATTGTGCAAAACGTTATCACCATGTATTTTTTTTTGCATCTTCACCCATATTTACACATTTCATTGCAAAAAAAAAAAATTATGAAAATGTCAAAAAATGAAAGGTTTGGACGTTTTTCACAATTATATTGAAATGTATAGATGTTTTGTGCCAATAACTCATATGTTATATTTTAGTAATTTTAACCTTAAATGTTTATGTTTAGATTATTTCTTTTGCTAAAAAAATTAATCTTCGTGCTTTGGATTTAATTGTTTTATGCTTGGTGTACAATGTTTTGTTAAGAAAATTTTGTTGCATTAGTTTAAAAATAAATAAATTATAAGGAATAGTAAAGTTACTGCTCATGGGTGATAATTTTGAAAGGGGTATATAACTACATGATGATATTTCTCTTAAGATCAAACATGAAGTAAAATGAGGTTATTGGCTACTGGAGCTCACCAATCAACAATCATATGAATCGAATGTGTTACGTAAAATGTTATGTTTTAATTTAATTTCGAGAGTGAGATACATTTTAATGTTATATAATGGAGTGAAGTATGAGTCAGAAGTCCTATTACATTGGGTAAAATCAATAATGGAGTGAAGTATGAGTCAAATTCACATTAAACTCCTTCAAGACATATTCAAGTCTACTACCAACTCTCAATACTCTTCCAACGGTATTTTCAATCAAATACTCAACAAGAATTCGGGTCACAACCCAATTCTAACATACCACTATCTTCATTGTATGTCCTAGGCTACTGCCAAAAAGCCTCAACCCATTGTCTTGAGTATCCATTTTCGATCGTGATTGGTGAGACGGCTTAATGCTATGACTATTATTTTGGCATATGTTTACAATTTTTTTTGGTAATGATTTTAATCTTTTATGTTCTTTGTGTTTTCATTATTGTTCCTACTATGGAAACATTAATCCTTAATCCAGGGATGCCTCCACCCTTGCTGGCATTGTTCTTCTAAGACTTGCAATCATCACAACGATGGAGAGAATCTGAATCGACCATTCGAGGTGGGGTTGCAGATATGTATGATGAGAGAAACTTGGGGTTGGTAAAAAATGTCTACTTCAACGGAAAATTTGGACCGAAACAAGGTGTAAGGATAAATGAATAAAGGAGATAAATCAGAGAAGACAACCACAATTTAACCAGAATAATTCTAAGGTTGCCATATTTCCCAGCAAGCAATAAGTTATTGATAAATGAACTAATAGAATGAAAGATCTCCAGTGAGAGAGATACCACAAAAATATCGAAGTGACTAAGCACCAACATATTTGCATAAAAAATCTATTGTTATTAAATTCATGAGCACCATATAGATTAGCTATAATGGGACAAATACACTTGTAACACCAACACATGATATAATCCCAAGGGAAAAGAAAAAGGAAAATTGATACTCAACATGCCTTCAATCACCGAACTTCATAGGAGGATTGACTTTTTTTTCCTTTCATGGCTCAATGACAAATAGAGGCTGCAAGGAGGAACAAAAAGTTATGGACAAAATTCGTACACAAGTGTTAACCATCTCATTAAAAGCTTAAGTTACCGGGGCTACATATACTTAATTATATTTTATTTTCAACCGACCCCTCACATGCAACTGCATTCATGTTTTGATCAAAGGTCTAACACGTGCACAATTTCTCAATAATGGTGGTAACAAGATTTGAGCCCAGTTCTTTTGTGTGGCTCGGATACAAAGTTAACTATCTCATATCTAAGCTTAAACTATTAGAGAGACGATACTTGTTTAAATCTTATGTTCAACAGTAAGCAGAATTGAAGCTTCACAAGCAATAAGTATAGTATCCATAAAGGGGGGATGCCAATCTGGAGAGGTAAAAGAAAATAGAGGTACCATGTCCACGCTGACAGGTTTCCCATCATCTGCAAGTATATCAACTACGGTTCCCGATTGATCAGCCTGAAAAAAAAAAAAAAACAACATATATATATATATATACAGCAATCAAAATTTATGATAAATGTATTGGAATTTAGATATGTGATGTGTGATTCGTGAAGAGCTGAAAATTAAGTGATGTGCTTTCCTGTAAATGCTAGTAGCTCAAATATGTAGGTGATATTGCTATGTTTCCAGAAAAAAAAAAAAGAAATGAAGAAACGGGTTTTCTTTTGAGAATATGGAATGTTCTGTTTCTAATAAATAAAAATCCCCAATGAATCACCTCATTCCATAGTTTTCTTATTTTGTAATCCAATATTTTCCATGCATTTTTTATAAATTGTTATCCACAATGTAAACAGGATGTATGGAACAATACCAGATCAGACAAAGGTCCAGCAGCTTACCTCAATCTCATTCATCAGTTTCATGGCCTCAATAATACATACTACCTGCCCTTTTTGGACCTTATCTCCCACCTAGAAAATGCATTGTATATCAGAATTGACAGCAACAGAATATTGATGTTAAATATATAACAGAAAAGGGTAGTTATATGTTATCTCAATGTTAGTGTTGCGGCATACAGATATTGAGAAGTTGATATTTGTTTTCGATTCTAGACCTTGCGACAAGTCTAGTTAACTGAATCAATTGCTTATAGAATTTAGCATAAAACTAAAGCGAATCAAGACATTTCATGACTCAAAACAAGAAGGTCAAACATGATGTATTTTATCACTTCATATTTAAATACTTAAATGACTTATTACTCCGTCTTCATATCTAAATTTCTTCTATCCTAGTATGAACGAGCATGTTGATATCCATCTTAATAATACAATTGGAAGTTATGCCCCTGTTTGAGCCACATTAAAATTTTCATTCTCATTTTTCTACCCATTTTCAACTACACATTTTTTAATAAAATAATATTTTCCATCTCATCAATAATTATTTCTTTTTTTTTTCAACCATACATTCTCTATCAATCTATTATTCCAAAATACATTCTTCCAAAATAATGTGGCTCAAACACACCCTAATATCGGGCCTATACTATTATTTGGCTTTTTTACCAAATTTTAAATATCTTATTTAGCATATTTTCTCGATAACTAAGGGATTATTTAAAATCAAAGGTTAAACCATTCACCTTTCCCATGCAATTTGCAATACTTGAGCGCTTGTGAGGTATGGAGAGAGATCAAATTTGAGTTTGCAGCAATGGATATTTTGAAGTATTTTAAAATTATATTTTATTTAATCGACCCAGCATTTGAACCAGGAAACCCAGTAGCTGAGTTGGGAAACCCCTATGACCCAGTCCCTATATTGAATCTTTGCCTATGCCAGATTTCAAAGGAACGTGAAAAGCCCAGGAATTCAAGTGAATAATTTTCCGAAGTATTTTCATGCATAAACACACATGAAGCATTGTATGCACTAACCTTCACGAAAGGTGGTACCCCTGGGGCAGAAGCACGATAAAATGTTCCAGCCATAGGACATTTTAGTGGAGGATGTGATGACTTTGGTTTCGTCAGAGCAGGTGGTGCTGGCACTGAAGCTGGAGTTGAAGGAACAGGAGAAGCAGGAGCAGGGACATTTGAAGGAGGCAATTGCGGTGAAACCATAGCCTGATGAGTGGAAGGTTGTGCATAAAAAACAGGGGCTGCAGCTGATGCTTGTGGCAATGCCTCCTTTTTTCTTATAAGGACTTCACAGTCCATTTGCTTAAGCTGCAACTCCATTATATCTTTTGAATCTACTAGCCTGGCAACGTTAAAAGTAAATTACAATTCACTTATGAAGACTGAATCAGAAAGTAACCAGTCGCTTAATGCAAAGTAATTACACACTTGACAAGATCCGCCACTTGAGTCATGAATGCTGAAATGGATGATGCATCTGGAACTGTGTATTGATTTTTCATTTCTTCAGCTAATTTTGTCTCAAGAGCTGGTGCAGAATTTGATATTTTCTCAATAGAAACCTTGTAAGGAAAGAGAATGACATAGCTAAGGCGAAAGGCGACATCAAGTTAAACAATTGAGAAGAGAGATGAGATGGAGGAGAAAATCAAAACCTCGACCTGATAACAAGTTCACCTTACCTCGTTTAGCTGTGCACACACCCTAAAAACATCTGATTGGCTCCGGTTACATCCCTGTCAAAATGGAAGGACCTTTAACCATATTGCAGTAAAATCAACAAGAATCTACTCAAATAATTTTTTTCTTTTGGTCTTTTAATGTCAGCTCACTGGGAAATGCCTTTGAACCATATTTAATTCTGTTAATGATATGTTGCAGAAGTGAGAAAGCACTTCAAGATCCTTCTATGTCAGCTGTCTAGCTTCTTTTAGTGCAACAACATTAAGGTATTTCACGATAAAGATATGCACTTAATATTTTCATCATTCTAGTTTTGACTTCATTTATAAGCAGAAAAATGGAATTAAGAATTTGTTACATGCTAGAGACAGTAGCAAGGACACTGAATGGAAGCAGACACGGCACAACAAGGCATTCTGACATGTAATGCAAATATAGTACGCTGAAAGGCAGTGGATGTGTGAAGAGAATTATTCATGCCAAAGCTCAATATTTTTCAGTATCGAGATTGATGTTAGATGCATCAGGGACTATTTGAAAAAGTTACCATTACGAATTTATCTGCTCCAAGTTTTATATCAAACATTTCTTCCGGGAATGATCAGTATAGAGTAACAATCTCATGTTTTGGTTATGAATCTGACATAAAAGGGAGGTTACAATTTCAAACCCGCTATTATTCTTGTCATTTATTCTTGCTTCAAGCTTAGAGTCTCCATTATCGGCTGCATGTTTTTGTTATGAATCGGAGATAAAAGGGAGGTTACATTTTAGAATCCGCTTTTAGTCTTGTCTTTTATTCTTGCTTCAAGCTTAGGGAAGCCTGTATACTTGGACTTCTCGCATGGGCAATGAATAACGATTTAGACCCTCTTATGATTCTTAAATAAAAATAAATCAAAAGCCATCCTCTGGTTTATCATATTTCCAGTGATCTTCCGCATTACCTTAAGAACTATTCAAAAATATTATTCTGGTACGGAAAAATCGCTTCATTACATATTCAAACTGTTTGACCCTATTAAAATTATAATTCATTTTTCCCTCTCTCCTTATCAACCACACATTTTCCAATCAATTAATATTACGCGTAATTCCAAATTTTTTTCTTCCTTTTTAAACACATATTTTTTTAAAAACTATTCCAACCATTATAATTTCAAATAATGGAGGCCAAACGAGGGCATAATGTGAACGAACCATTTACATCCGCTCATAATTCATTCACAAAAAAAAAAAAAAAAAAAAAAAAAAAAAAAAAAAAAAAAAAAAAAAAAAAAANCTGGAAGAGTGCTTTTTAGCTCTAAAGTAGCAATATAACAGTATATTATCCTATTGGATTGATTCATAAAATGTACTATCAACAAAACATCTATACCCGTGTATAATTCATTCAAAGGCGGACAAAAAACAGCCATAAGAAGAATCAAACCTGAGTGAGAAATAAAGGGCCCAGATTCGATCTAGAATCAGATCGAGGAAACGATGCGATACATGGGAGATGCTCCTGACGGTTTTCCGACTCCAATGAAGCGCCCAGGAGAGATGATATCTTAGGACAAGGAACGCTAAAAGAAGCCATTGATAAATGCCGATACCAATACGATTATTATGCAAATGCTGAAAGGAAACGTATAATTTAGTGCGATTGATGAAATCTGCGAAGAATGTTAGAGAAATTATTAGGTTTTTGTAGATGACAATGGGCGATAGAATTGAAGAGAAGGCCACGAGGAGGCGATACAAACGAGGGAAATGAAAACGAAGCTCTCCTTGTGTTGTACGGTACAACTCGAATTCGGCTTTTCCCTCCATAGTCCATTCAGGTGGTTGTTTAACCAACCAACTTGCCTACCCATTTGGCCCAATCATAAATTTTCTCATTTTGTGTTTATTAACACTATGTATTTTGTAGTCACAAATTTGTTATATACAATTTCGAGCACATTTATCAATCTCTCTCAAGAGGAATTTAGTAGAAAACTTGATTGTTTAATCATTGTTTGTCGTATAAAATTAAGCAGTTGTTTGGTTCAATTAAAAAAGATATATTGAAATTTAAGTCAAAATCAATAATTAATTTTAAATATATATTTTATGAAATATATAATTTTTTAATCACGCGTAACTTTCAATCACATATAATTTCAATTTTTAATTTTGAAAAATACTCAAAACTTTTTTAACCTGATATTTTAAAAAATGCATTTTCGAAAAAAAAAATGTTAAACTTATAAAATAAAGCGCAACACATTTTTTACGATTTGAGTATTTTTAGTTAAAATTCAGAAAACGCTCGAAATATGGGAAATAAACCGTTAAAATAAAGATTTATTTACATAAAATTATAAAAAAAATATATTTAAATGAACACAGATAAAAATTCTCAATTCAAGTCATTATTTTTTCCATGTGTTTTTCAACTTAATTTATTATTTGTTTTTGTTTTACTTTTGTAGTAAAAAAATATTGTAAAATTTACTAACTTTAAAATGTATATATTACTTATACATTATTCTATTTTACTGAATAATCAAATTTAATGAATAAAGGTTTTTTTAGCATATTTTTTTGGAGAATGAATTTTGTAATAGTGATTTTTTAGAGAATATATATTTAAAAAGGAAAAAATTGAGGTTTACATGAAAAATTATTTTATTTGAAAAATGTGTGATTGAATAAGTTTAGAGAAAATGTGTTTGTGAGGAATAGGACTCAACACATGGACAAAATGTCATAAAATAATTTTTCAAATCAAACATTTTTTCTAATTTTCTGTTTTGAGAAATAGTTTTTTTCCCAAAAAAACAAACCAAACATGTTTTTGACAATCTTAAAATAGATTCTCAAACCAAAAATTAAAAATAACACAAATTTGAAAAATGAAATACATACCAAGCAAACTTTAGGCTCTATTTTAACCCAATTTTGTGAAAAATGAGTTTTGTAATATTTATTTTTTGAAAAATGTGTGGTTAAAAATATGAAAATATTTTGAGTTTACTTATAAAATTATTTTATTTTATTAAAAGAATAAGTAATTAAAAATAAATTTGAAGAAAAATGAGGTTTTAGAGAATGTGCCTCAAACATGGACTCAATATTTACCTTATTTTTTAGTTTTTACTTTTTAGACTTGCACATTTGAGTTAAATATTTCAACACCCAATTTGGGGTATGATTATGGGTTATTTACCGAATTTCGAAATGCTTCGCATTGATCATTCAATTTTAGAGCGTAGCACTCCATCATCCACCTAACTTTGGTTCTTGTCACGGCTTATTTATCGAACTTCAAAATGCTTCTCATTGATCAATCAATTTTAAAGCGTTGCGCTCCATCGTTCATGACTTAATCGTGCTTTCAATTTTATTATATATAATCGTGCTTTCATAATTTCACTAAATTGATTTCTAGCTTGCCACTGTTTTAAAATTGAGTGATCAATGTGAAGCATTCTGAAGTTTGGTGAATAACCCGTCACCCATCCAAATTTGGTTGGGTGTTAAAATGCAATGTCTTAAAGTCGAGTAATCATGAAAAACATTCTGAAATCGGTGAATAATTCATTACCACACACAAAATTGAGTGGGTCTTGAAACATTTAATTTGTGAGCAACGGAGTGCAACACTTTAAAGTTGTGAGTGGATGTTGAAGCATTTAAATCGTGAGTGAAAAAAATGCAACATTCTAAAGTTGAGTGATCAAAGAGAAGCACTCTAAAGTTTGGTGAATAACATGTGACAACACTCGAAGTTGGATTGGTGATGTAATATAACGCCTTAAAGTTGGGCAACCAATGAGAAGCATCTTGAAGTTTTGAAATATTTAGTCCTCGTTTGGCACCCAGTTTTTTTTTCCATTCTCATTCTCATTCTTTTCTTCTTTCTTTATTTCAATAACACATTCTATCAATAAAATAATATTACACATAAATCTAAAAATTCTCCATACTTTTTAACCATACATTCTTCCATCAATCACTATTCAAAAACATGTTTTTCTACTAAAATGGGCGTCGAACACTCCCCTTGACTCCATACACACCCCCAGGAAGCGTCGCCACGTGCTCAGCAAAAGCAATAATAGTGGGTCCCAACATACTGTAGGCGTCTTTAACAAATCGGCCCCTTTCCATTTCGAAACTTGTCCATCCCTAGATTCCTTCCCGACGGCACACCCCCACGCCTCGGTCCCCCATCTCCGCACTAAATTCTTTCAGCAAATTTCAATTCTCACAGAATCTTCAATAAATAACCGAATATTAGATTAATTTAACAAAATCTATATAAATTATGAAATCAGTGCACTCCTTCACATGATCAGACTTATTCGGAAGATTGTCCGAACAAAAAGCATACTGCTGATAGATTTTCTTTTAATTTTATTATCTGATTTCGGTTTCGGTTTCTCTTTCTAGGGCTTGCTCCGATCTCTCCACTTTCCGTAAGTTTAATCGAGAACCCTTTTGCTGTTTCGCATTATTTGACAAATTGAATATGTTATTGCATTCTGCCAATCATTGTGATGCATACTGTATTTGTTTGTGTATCTTCCGTAGATGATGAAAGATTAAACATAAAATTTGGTTTTTTCAAATTCCTTTTTTTATTTTTATTTTTAAGTGCCATTTTTTCGTTGATATGGGATTGAGCTTTTGGAAATGAGTCTACTCGTATTGCTCATAACAATTTTACTTTCGAGACATGAGTAGACTATCGACTGTTAGAGTTGCTGAAGATAGATCTTAATCCTTTTGCTTTACTTCTGCATACAGTAAATAGTGCGGTTTGGTTTGGATTTGCTAGTATCAAGCCTAGGAACATATAGAACACTAAAGGATTGACATCTTGCAAGCATGGGGATCGATAAGGGTATGTTATTGTAATCTGGCAATCTTAGCTCTATGCTTTATATCCTAGGATATGGGGATGTTTGGAATTGATATGGATGCCCTTTTTATTTATTCTACTTAAGCATGGGTGTGTTATTTATAGCCTATCTTCTCAAGTGTTAGCTGTGAAGTATCCACATGGAACAGGGGTATGATAACCTTTATGATGAAAAGACACGTGGAAGGCATTGCTGCAACTAAATATATTTATGTTTTTATAAATTTTAGTAGCACGACATCTTGATGTAACATCAGGATTATGGATTATGCATCGGCTATATTCTTATGAGCATCTCTTACCTCATTTTTGTAACTCGTAACACTATGGCTTCTCTTGTTTCCATTTATGAGGTGTTTAAGTAACATATTAAGAGTTCTTACCACAAGTACACTGAAAATGGCTCGTCTTATGCTTTGTCACTTCAAAAGTAGTTTATAAGCTGAGTTTTTGTTACTTTTGTTTCAATCATCCTCAATAAACATGCTTAAGTGTGGTGTAGACATTTTTTGTATGGGTGCGTGGTAGCCCTAGTTGTGTTAAAGGTGTTGGAAAAATCCAAATTTTAATCTGACATTGTCAAATGGATTGTTTGATGTGTTCTTGGTTATCCATGGGGTGTAACCTTAGTTTTTCATTTCATTGATTTCTTATTTCCACTCTCCCGTCTCAGAATTTTATCCATCCGAAGGCATTTCTATTCTGTTCACTCATTCACAGATCTGCAAGAAGCTTTACAGTCCAAAAGAGTGCTTTGAAGATAAGACGATGATTGACATATAGAATTATAGATACAGTTTATAAGAAGATTAAGTTTGGGGCTTTTGGAAAGAGATTGATAGAATGGTTCTGATTTTTGTGGAATGAGAATATTCTGCCTCAGTTTTATTTTTCCTGAGTGGCAGGAATGATGAAATTGTTACTGGGAAATGACATGCAAAATAGATGGTTTACTTAAATAAACGTATGAGCAGAATGTGAAAATAGAATTTGAACAATGGATGACTACAGAGAATCTGAAGCTCTGCTTCCCAGCTGGATTATTAAAAATCCATCTGAAATGGCTGAATCCCATCTTTTTATTATCTCTTGCATCATTGCTGGTTCGATAGGAATTTTGACTATATTATTCACGGCTTTCCAATGGAGAAGAAATTTAAACTTAAGTTGGATGAAAGCCATTGCAAGGTCAAAGAAAAACCCAAAAGCAAGGAACAAGGTTCTTCTGGCTCCTCATACATGGGTTTTGGAATCTGTGATTCGAGGAAAAAGTTTGAACTGCTGTGTATGCTTGAAGTCTATGTCATCTTCACAGTCTCTTGGTCCCGGGATGGCTTCAGACACGTTTATCCACCGTTGCAGCATATGTGCCGCAGCAGCTCACTTGAGCTGCTCCTCAAAAGCTCACAAGGATTGCAAGTGCGTATCAATGTTTGGATACGGTCATGTAATGCATCAATGGGCCGTGCAGTGGACTGAGGTGACAGACCAAACTGATGAATCATCTTTCTGTAGCTACTGTGAAGAGCCATGCAGTGGTTCTTTTCTTGGGGGATCCCCTATTTGGTGTTGCCTGTGGTGTCAACGTCTCTTGCATGTTGACTGCCATGGTAGCATGTTTAATGAAACAGGTGATGTTTGTGATTTGGGCCCTTTTAGAAGGCTTATCCTATCTCCACTTTATGTGA